GCTACACATGCACATACTCAAAGCCAACAAGCCTAAATGCAAAGGAGCCATATAAGGCATGCAAAGATCGGCACACACACACACAGAGAGATAAGTTCTCACAGATCTGAGTTGTTCCGACCAAATGTTGTCGAACTCCAAACCCTCGTCGTCGGTTGATGGGGATGGCGAGAGAGACAAAGAAGAAGACTGATTTTTCTGTTGGTGGAGCAAGATCTGGGAGTTCATGGAGTTGGTGAGCAAACCCTTTTCAAAAATGATGAAAATGACAACAGATGTCATGGAGTTGGTGAGAGAGAAAGAAGACAGAGAGGGAATACATGTGGAGGAAAATGGAGACTTGGATACGAGAAAGAACAAAGATGGGGACGGCGATGAGAGACAGAGAGAGAGAAAGAGGCTTGTTTGTGAGGTTATGTGATGGTTTGTTTTATAGATATATATATATATATATATATAGAGAGAGAGAGGGTATACTAGTAATTTTAGTTCGGGGAAACGGGGAAAACTGCTCTAATCGGAGTCAGGGGATCGGGTCCCGATCGGGTCCCCATCGAGCCAGGTTGAAATTACCATCCTTAGTCTGGATTACGTTCAGTTAGATAAAAAAAATTATCAGGCTGAGCTGCAATTGCAAGTATTTAGATTAAGAAAAATGTTAGAGATTTTAAAAAATTTATTAAATATTTTATATAGATGTGGAACCCACATCATATGGGTTTTATATGGGTCCCACATCTATGTGAGACATTTGATAAAAAATTTAATAAAACTTTTGGAATCTCTAACATTACTCTTACATTAAATGATACACTCAAGTCCTACCTAATAACTTTGGCCTAGACCAACTAACGGATTAGCCTACAAGCAAAGCCTAATGGCCTGAGGGGCAAACATACTTTTAGGAGTGTAAATTTGGCCCAACCCGACCCGTGTCAGGTCTTGCGGGCTCTCGCCAAAATTTGAGCCAGTCCACGGGCTAGATAATTAGGCCCAAGCCTAGGGAGTATTCGAACATTGGGCGGGCCAATGGACCAGGCCTAGGCCTAGACTGGGCTTGGGCGAGTCTAAACATTTTTTTTTAATTTTTTAAACTTTCTACCAAAATTTTATTAACTTTTTACAAAAAAAGACACTGGGCCTCAGGTTGGGCCTTAGGCGAGCCGATGGGCCGAGCTTAGGCGAGCCGATGGGCCGAGCTTCAAAATGATGGCCCAGTCCCAGGCCTAGGGTCTTGGGCTGGGCTCAGGCCCGAGCCCAAATGGGCTTAAATGAGTCGGGCCCATCCCGGGCGGCGGGCGGGTTTCGAGCCGCCCACAAGCCACGAGCCATTTTTACACTCCTACTTGTAGGTCATGTGGCATGCTCTTGTACTTTTGTATTTTTTTTCTGTTTTATTTAATGTCTTATTCACCTAAAAAAAATAAAATTTCCTAAGTAATATTTTAATTTTATAATAATAAAATAAATTATAAACACATCTTTTAAAATTTATTTAAAATATATAGTCTATTATAGTTTTAGAAATTATAAATATTTTATTGTCAATTTTTTATTTAATAATTTGAATGATGTCAGAAATATATTTCAATTAACCAAACCAAACCAAACCAAACTAAATCAAACCTTAAGTCCCATCAAATGAGGTCGGCTACATGAATCTTTCTTCTCCACGAGACCCTATCAAAGGCCATTTCGTTAATCAAATTAAGTAGATCCATATCTCTATTTACAACGTTAACCAACGTTAATCTAGGCCTACCCCGTCCCCTAACACTTCCATCTACCGTTACAGTATCACATCTCTTCACTACTGCCTCTGGTGGTCTCCGTTGAATATGACCATGCCATCTCAATCAATTCTCTCTCAACTTATCTTCTATCGGTGCTACTCCTACCCATTCCCGAATACACTCATTCCTAATTCTGTCTTGTCTAATCTTGCCATACACCGACCTTAATATTCTCATCTCAGCCACACTCATCTTATTTACATGTTGTTTCTTGGTTGCCCGACACTCCGTCCCATACAACATCGTTGGTCTAATAGTTGTTCTATAGAACTTCCCTTTAAGTCTAGTGGGTATTCGTTTATCGCACAGTACCCCAGACACACTTCTCCACTTACACCATCCCACCTTAATCCTATGGGCCACATTCACATCAATCTCCTCCGCTGTTGTGATAATCGACCCTAAATAATAAAAATGTTCACTCTTAGGCAGTTCTTGGTTCTCAATCTTTACTTCTCCTCTGCTTTCATTGTTACTATTACTAAATTTATACTCCATGTACTCTGTCTTAGTTCTGCTTATCTAGAATCCTTTAGATTCATGAGCTTTTCTCAAATCTCCAACTTTGTATTAACTCCTCTAGTCTCATCCACTAGCACTATATCGTTTGCAAAAAGCATACACCATGGCACGTCATCCTGGATATTTCTCATTAACTCATCCATAACTAAAGCAAAAAGATAAGGACTTAAGGTATTTCAATTAACAATTTTGATAATTTTACTATTGTATAAGAGAGTTGTTTTTTTTTTTTATTGTAAATTCTATTAAATAAAAAATTGGACTCTATTTCAGATCTAAAATTTTGTCTAGTTTGTAAATTTTGTCTGCTTACTAATAAGATGGGTGTTGTATCAAATTGTGAATTTTGTCTGGTTTGTATAGCACTACTCATTTTGGATGATTTTTTTTTTTTTCATAATCATTATTATATAAAATTTTGGTAATAAAAAAGTAGTACAAACCAAACTAGCTTCCTCTATACATGTCATTCCTGGCAAAAAATAACCTTCGAACCTCAAATTATCTACATGGGTGTGGGGTCAAAAGGCCCCTGCCTAAATGGATTCTCAATTATGAAAAAAAAAAAGGAAAATGAAAAAAGAAATAGCAACAAGATGAACATCCAGTGCCTAATTGCTTTCCTTCTCAGTCCACATTTGATTTTCCTTCAGTAATCTGTATCAATTATTTTAACACCTGAGCAAATAACTCTGCTTATGTAGCGATCCTTGAGATACAAATCATGTAAATTAGCTATTTTTGTTTCAAATTCAATATTAATTTTGGTGACAATATCGACATTTGCAAATGCTAATTATATATTTAATTGGATCTTTAGACTATCTCCATGAATTTAATTCAATCTAACATACTGCGAGACAAGAATCACAAACCGTAAAAAAAAATGGGCGCATGATAAAAAGTTCTCACATTGCATAAAAGTTTCTAACTCATAAGTTTGTCCATGCACAAGATGATATCAACGGATTAAAATGATAAGGATACTACTAAAATGTTCTTATATTACTGGGATAAAAGCCTCGCGCATATTTACTTGGAGAAATTATTCACTGTGGATAAGACACTAACTTCAGCTTCAATAATCAAAGTATCCTTCACAAGGAATCCCTTAGAAGCATCATGGAGCTTAGTAAACGACAAGAACGAATGGTTACCCCAGCCAATGGATGTTGAAGCAGAGAAACATTTGGTGCCTGAAAGACAATTTTTTTTTAAGATTACAAAAAAGACCTATTTAAATGAAAAGTGGAGTCTCATAGATATGAATTCTTCGGAGTTTGGTCAAACGTAAATTCCACTTAAAATTTTGTGTTTGTTTCTTGTATTTGTGAAGGGAAAAGAAGAATAGAGGCATACTAATGTTGCCAGAGGCACCTAATTAAGATTTTCCGATGAACAAAAAGTAGTAGAACTGTAATGTCACCTGTAACTTCCGCATGCTGGCCATAGATTTGGTTCCTTATGCGCAACTTGTATTTTGCATATGTTTTCCATTCAGAAGGAAAGCTTTTCGAATCATCTAACTCTAAATAGAGGGACAAACATTTACCCTTTCATGTTGCCAGTCCTTTCGGATAGAGCCGTTATTTTGATACATATATTGTAATTTGAAAGAAAAGAAAATTAAAACATAGCATATACCACTCCTGATTTCCAATAGTGAAGACATCAGAATAATGAATTTTGGAAACTAGAGATGAGAACTTATCAATCTTCCAAGTGTAAGTAATGTCGAGTCCTTTTTTCAATAAAGTTAGACACTCTCCTCTGCCAGTGCAATTCATAACAACTTCTGCTCCAAACAAGCACGTGTCTCTGATGAGGTATCCATTAGCAGCATCGTTGAAAGTACCAAATGGGAGTAATTGGGGAAAATCGAATTCAGTTTTCATCAAATGAAAGCATTTTACCTTCCCATTATGGTCATCTAAGCATTATTCACCAAAAAAAAACATCATCTAAGCATTGGAATAGAATCACAATTTTTTTAAGGAACCTTATATAAATTGAAATGAGATTGAATAGTTACTCAACAAACTACTTACCTTGGAAGGTCAAGTACTTGTCTTGAATATGATTATACACAAACCAACAGGTAAATTACTTGTCTCTGCAATTAGCAAGTAAAGAGAGATGTGTCCTTTCCCTTTTCTTTCTTTATCGCCACTTGGGTAGAGTGACAATTTCCTTAAATTTCAACACAAAAAAGATCAAAACAAGAATCAATTTAATTGTATCTTGAGATACAAAACAAATGCTTACAAATAAAGGATATAAAACTCAAACCATTTGTAGCCACTGGCTTCAAAAATGTCTGATTCATAATTCTTCATTCCAACATCTAAGAGTAATTGCGAGAGTAGTGAGAATGACTCAATCTTGAGAAGGTAGTGAGCCGGTGGTATATCTCTTAGTGATCTTGTTACTTCTGCAGAATGGAGAGATAAAAATGTGAAATTACTATGAAAGATCTAATTTGCTTTGCATATACAGATTCAATTCAACTCATCTTGACGGTCCAATGCTCTATTTATTATATAGCTGTCTTTATGGAATTTGTTTTGCAACCATTAATGAACAGTCTTCCCTAGAACAAACAGTAAGCTAGGAGAAAATCTACCCACCAAGGATCAAACCATATTAGGGTTCGGTTTAGTTTGATTTAAGGGAAAATCTAGGACCAAATCGTTATTTATGATTTCATAATTTTTAGAACATAATCAAATCTTGAGATGCCCGTTAGTTATGTTTGAAACCACGGTTTCTAATAACTTAGCATCATTCATAATTTGTTCACAAAATATTGTTCAATACATCAAACATCAAGCAAAATAAATTTTTTTTCAAACATTAAACAATATGTCATCATTCATAACCTTCATCATTTTTCAAACAAGAAGCAACGATATTAGGTAATAATATAAATAAGGGTTCTTAAAGTGTATGATATTAATAAGTTATTTATGTCCATATATCAAAATGGTACAATTTTGAAAAATCTAGAAATCCGCTAGATATTGATTTGTGATTATGTATCAATTTAAAGCAATAAAACAATCCCAATCAAACAGTCAAGATAAATCGACACAACGATTTTAACGTGGAAAAACCACAATCAGAGCACCTCCAATTGTGATAAAAAAAAACCACGGGCAACAGCCCCAAAACAATCCACTAAGAAGATTTAATGGAATTATACAGGTATACTCTCAATTACCTAGCGAATCCACGCCCGAATTGAACCAACCCCTATGTGCCTCTTCCAACCCCGTCTTCACCTTGGAATTGTCTTGACGACGAGCCACTCCAGAATCCACCAAAGCTTCAGGCTCAAATTCTTCAGAATCCACCGAAGAACAACTCTCTCTCTTTTTAGAATAAACAAACAATCCTTTGATGTATACTTTTTAAACCATGAGTTGAACACTCAATTAAACATCAAAGAAAACTAGCAAAATATCCCCATATATAAACCTTAATATCCAAAAAGAAGATCTGGAGAAGTAATCCTAGTTTTGGACTAAAACAAATACTTATAGAAATCTGGGACTGCGAAGCTCGCTCGAGCGAAGACTCTCTCGCTCGAGCGAGGAACCAAAAACACGTGTTTTCTATAAGTGGATTCGCTCGAGCCACGCACCCTTCGCTCGAGCGTACATTCATCTCTTTCAGGTTTTTACGCAGACGCAACCTTCGCTCAAGCAAGCAAGGGTTGACAGGCAACTTTGAATGCAATTTTGCATTTTGCTTTGGGGGCGCTGCCCCTCGACCCCGCCTGGGCGCTGCCCTGAACCCGCCAAGGGGCGTTGCCCTCTGGACCCCCGCGAGCTGACCGGGCAGCTTGATCTCCATTATAATCAACGAAGTGGCAATCTTGAAAGTATTAACATCACAAACTTCTCTGCAAGGCACGATTCAGGTTGGATTCGCATCTAAAAACTCATAGCCTCACTTAAATACAAGTGCGAATAAAATTACAACTCAAAGGAGTTTTGTCAAACGAGATTGCCAAGAATAAAAACCTAACAAGTTTGATTCTAAATCAAACTATGACTAGAAATTTGTGAATCAAATCGTGAATTGCGATTTACCTATTTTGCAAACTACAATCAAAATGAATATTAAATAAACAAAAGAAAGTCTGGACCGAATTGATTTAAGACTTTTTTTTTATAAATGTTTTTGTGCAACTAACTTTTAACTTAAAAGTAGATGGTTTAGAACACCAGACACACCATATCTTGTCAAAACTCCTAGACTCCTAGGTGGTCACACAAAATCATATATAGTGCACATATATACATATATATAGAGAGAACTAAACTTGCTAGAGAGAGACTACCAAAGTTTTCATTATGATGAGGAATGGGATGGCATGTTCTCTCTTCCATGTTTGATGTAACACCCTGTATTTTGAGGTATTAATATTTAGTGAGTGGTATTGGTGGTTTATTATAATAATTTAGTAGTGAGATTTTTAGATAAGAACTTAATTTTAAATTATTTATTTGTATTTATCTCATCTCTTTTATATCTATCATATTTTTATTTATTCTCATTTAATAATAAATCTTACCATTCCCCATCACATGGAAAAAAAAAAAAAAAAAAAAAAAAAAAAAAAAAAAAACTACAACAACAACAAACCGTGGGTAACACCCACAGTATCCCCAAACCCACCATTCCAGCATTTCATATTTTCATTTATTTTAAACTTTTAATCTTCTCTCTCCCCATTATTTCCTCTATAAACCAACAGAGTGAGGGGGCTCCTCACATTCCCTTCTTATTCTTCATTCATTCTCTGCATCTGTTCTTCTCTTCTCATAAATTGTGTAGAGTAGAAATACTAAGTTTAGATATGAGAGTGTTTAAAGTGGAAATGAGTATTTTATAAAATAAATAAATAAATTGAGAGTTGTAGATTTTATTAAATTATACATACTTTATGTCTTAGAAGTTTGATCAAAGCTATTTTTGGAGATCTATGGAGCAATTTCAGATTTATGGTGACGGAGTTAATTATTTTGAGGTAAATTCGGGTAGTATACAATATGCTTTATTTAAATCTCTTTGCAAAAAGTTCTCTATTTTTAATTATTCTCAATTTGTAATCCACTTGATTATTGTGGTTATTAATAGATTGTGTAAAATCATCTCATAATCGAATCGTTGATATTCTGATCATTTGGTAAAATTTCCTACAAATATTTCTATGTTAAAATAGTGATTTGTTTGACTGAAAGACATGGAAATACTCTGTACATGGATCGAGTCAATCTTATTAATTGTTTACACCAATATGCCCAGATAAGCGTGGAGCTTGGGTATTTGGGTATTGAGTAGGACTGGGTATTTGGTTCAGATAAATTATGGTTGATTTGTTGTGTAATTTGATAAATTGCTTGATTATCGTATCGTTGATTTAATGTCATAAATTGCTGGATTCTTGTTAATTTATTCTTTATCCAAGCCTTGTATTTCTGTCGTATTGTATACTTCCCAAATTAATTTATTTTTCAGGTGCAGAGCAAATTTTAGCGGAGCTCAAAATTGAGATTAGAAAGATTTATTAATATAGAGATTTGGGACCCACCATTATAATTATTAAATTTGGAGATAGTTGTAATATTTTTTATTTTGGAGGTAATTGTGCTATAGAATATTTGGAGGATATTGTACCATTTGGAGACGATTTTGTAGTTATTATTTTTTCGAGCAAAACTTGTATTTTTTTTTAGACTATTTTAATGTATTTAACGACCCGGGAGTGGGGCATTACATTTGATGCCTTCTCCACAGACTTTTTTGGATGAGCAACTTCTATTGTATATATCTAAAGCAGGGGACTCTTTTTCTATGCCCTTATTTTAAGGGGGGGATTAACATTCAACATAGAAGATCAAAGATAATTACAAATGAGTTTCTGTTACACCCCACTTTTTGTAATTATTTTTTGCTTCTCACACTGTTAACTAAAATTCTCCCTTATTTTAAACCCGTGGACACAATTTTATTTTTAGAAAAGATTAAAAAAAATAGAAGGATAAATTACATTCATTGTTGCAAAAGTGATTTGTTATTTTCAATTAAATATCATCTAAAATTAGATGAAGATACAATGAGTAAATTTGCTTTGAAAATTTATTAAATAGTATGGAACACGTTGTCTAAGTGGGGTCGTCTCTATCTAAAAAATGGAAAAAGTAGTGTTGTCAACCAATAAAAAATTGCAATCTACACTTTAATCGTTGTATCTTTTTTTCTAATTACTTAATGAAAGTGAGTCACTGTATTCTTTTGTAAGATTTTCAACGATGCCATTAGTTTAGATTAAGAAATATTACTATTAAAATATAATTTTACCAAATTATTACATATTTATTATTAATATTTATAAAATTTACTACTTATTTATAATAGAAAAATGCTTGAGACGTCATTTTTGGTGACCCCCCATAACTCTCAATTAATTTGTGACCACTCATTCTGTTTTTGGTTTTTTTTTTCCCCTCTCTCACAAATGTTGTGGGGGTGTGGGGGTTCTGGAGCACACCCGTTTATATTATTTTCCCCTTTAGATTACCACACAAACATTGCCCCATAGTGCTTCAGAGTAACCAATAATTGCCCATTGACTTTATAGCGATCCCGGTTGTCCCTTTACTATTCTGTTGTATTCCGGACTCGGTTCTGTGAAGTGGTGGTAGTATCTGCCTTGTTGTCGTCCTTTAATTCCGCTTGATTGAGTTTTAGGATGTTTGTGGGCTTGTGTCGAACAGGTGGGTTAAGCCTTGGTCTATATCCTTGTTGTCCAAGTTTTTGGTGTTACGCTCGAGCGGGTCATTCTGCGCTCGAGCGGAGTTTGGTTTCTAGTCTAGCGCTCGAGCGGGTATTCTGGCGCTCGAGCGGAGATTGCACACTCCCAGTTTTTCGTGTCCCTGCAAAACTTCTGCAGAGGGGTTTTCTACGCTCGAGCGGGTTTTATGCGCTCGAGCGGGTTGCGCTCGAGCGGGTAGTGCTGTCTGGGTGTAAGTTCTGGGAGATGGAAATTTACGCTCGAGCGGTCTGATTTTCGCGCTCGAGCGGATGTGCTTTATTCTTGTGTCTTGGCGCTCGAACGGGCCTTATTGCGTTCGAGCGTGTCCAGATTTTGTTCTTGGTGCTCGAGCGTTGTGTTCTCCGCTCGAGCAGGTCATACGTATATGAGTTATCCGCTGGGTGATTTTAAATCACTTCTTGCTTTTCTTTCTGTCTCCTACTTTTTCTAAAACCCTTTTTTTGAGAGTCTCTCTCTCTAGAAACTCCCTTCTCTCTAGGGTTTGATCTAGTTAGAGTGTCCTCCTTCTCTTCGGCCTTTGTAAAAGTTGTGTGGATCGTCGAGGGCATCATTTTGATCTGAGAGTCTTGGTCTTTGGAGCACTTTGG